TTTTATGAAGAAAACTAAAGTGTAATAAATTTTGTGGTCATTTTTTTACACTTCCTAGACTTCCGTGCTCTTTTCCACAAAATATCCCCAATCTAAAAAAAAAAAACAAAAAAGAAACCCTGAACTAAAACTTCCAATGCAATTTACCTTAACTCCATCGTGACAGCATTACTTTTTTCAAGAATTTCTTATTCACCTACCAATCATCGTGTCTGCAATAAATCCTAAATTGAGATCAATTCTTATTAAAGTACTCAAGTGGGACATTTGCGTTCCACTCGTCGCGAAAGGGTTAATTCAGTGTTATCCTATGCGACCATTTTCCAGAAAGCTCCTCAATTACTTTCTGACATAAAAAACAGATTACTCGTACCTTACACGAATAATTTTACGAAGAAAACCAAATTTAAAAATTTTCGAACCATTTTCCTAGAGTAAAATGAAATTTCATACCGTTTCTCACAAAATGGTCCCAACCTAATGTCCAGCAGCTCGACCGATTTTAACGCACAGTTCAAATAATCTCACTTAAATACCAAACCACTTTGTTACTCTCCCTTGAATTTCCTACGGTAAAATCAAATTTCGTACAATTTCCGACAAGATGTCCCCGATCTAATTTCAACGCGCAACAATTAAAATAATCTCGTTCAACCGAGGGCCACTTTGATCGTTTCAATTCACCACGGTCACTCTCTGAATTTCTGCGACGTCGAAACGAGTCACGTTATCGGTCCACGTGCACAAGAGTCTGTCGGAGGGGCCCTCGCTCGTTTCTCCGTTTTCACAAGCGGGCCCGTGGTCGCTAACGACGAGTCGATCCTCGCCGGCGATTCCGTGGCACGGCTCCTTTGTCAATCATCGAGGGGGAACGCAAGAAGATAATTACACGTTGATCGGCCTTTCCTCGAACCTGGCCGTGTTTTGCATTGCCGTCGCATCGCCGGCCGACTTGTGCTTTTATTTCGATGAGTCACTCCCACGCTCGACGTTTCGAGAACGGAACAGGTTCGCCGGCAACAGACTTCGACGAACGAATGCCGCCGTTCTCATCTTCCGCGCCTTCTTTCCTCGCGAATTCCAAGTGTAATTTCACGTGTGCATGTGAACAGGACGTCTCGTGAAAATTGGGGCTGATCTGTTAACCCTTTACCTCGCGACACTTTTTTTTTAGTGATGTCAAAGTTCAGATTAGTTAAAGTATTAGATATGTGTAATTTGCATTTGAGAAATTAACGTTGTAATTTAAAGTGAATGTAACAGGACGTTTGGAAAAAATTAGGGTTGATCTGTTAACCCTTTACCTCGCGACACTTTTTTTTTTTAATGTCAAAGTTCGGATTAGATGAAACGTGTTAAAATATTATATGTAATTTGCATTTGACAAATTATTATTGAATGAAAATTAACGTTGCCTTAAGACACTATTAAAATACTTTCATTTATACAATTCCAAAATAGTTGCAACGAAGATAACTTCAAATAAGTTTGTTTAATTATTAAACAAACACCCTTAGTATTAAGAAAAACAATAAACCAAAAATTACCATTAAAGAACGAACTTTCAGTCTTGTACTTCTTCGAAACGAATTTTAATTTTTACTGAAAACGTCGAAATTTGAGTTAACAAGCAATAGTATAACAGTAGAGACTTTAAGAGGTATACCAGAATTTTTTGAAAGCCGAGAACAACAAAAAAAAAATTAGATTCGGACATAAACGACCCAGTTTGCATACGAAATGTGAAAAAATTCAGTTGTCATCCTTTTATTGTAAGGTAAATGTTCCCAATAGCGATCAATTGTTTATTCTATAATTAATACTTGACATTCTTGAAAACTGGAAGCACCAACAGTTTCAATAATCAACATCTCGCGTAAATCCCTTCGTATGTTAATAAAAACCAACAAATTTCAGTTATCACATTCTTCTATGTCCGGTGATTTGCCTCACGAACCCTAAAACCGAACGTCACACGCTGTTCTAGCTGTGGCTAGATCAAGCTGTGCCATCGCTTGACGTTATAATTTTCGACCTGGCTGTATTTGTTCCACCAAGCTTACCTCGACGTCCTACCTTCTCCAACCGCCACAACTCAAACAGACTCTTGTTCGTCCAGATGGCGAGGCTTCCTCGCGACCCGACGCAGAGTCGCCATCAATTACTCTCAACCACCGCTACATCGAAGAGATCAAGCAACCAAGCATAGAGGAGAGACCCCCGCGAGGATCGGTTCACGCGAACAATTAAGCGGTTTTCAGCGAAATTTCGCGTGCTGTCGCTTGCGATAAATCACGAGCACACGCCGCGAAGGTGTTCGTCGTCGTTCCTGATATCTCTAGCATCCCCAGACCGAAACTTTCTCGGCCCTGAGAAATTGATGTCTCGCAAGGAGAATTAATAGTCCAACACAACAGTCATAATTCAAAGCACCTGAAGTGTCAACCTGAATTAATAGTCGAGCGTTCACAGTCTCTCCGCCACGGAATCTCTCTCACTCCCTCTCTTCTGTTGCCCTCGTCTCTCGAGCCTCGTAGATTAATCTGTTTGACAAAAGCAGCGTAAGACATTGCACGCACGTTTTCCATCGAATTAGAAGCGACCCGACGATAATTGCGCGAACTCGCGACCTCCGCGTGACTTCGGATCAAGTCTCGATAGGATATACGCTGGTCGACCGTGACCCGTGTCACATTTACGCCACGGCCAAGCCCTTGGTCATTGTACAGTCGGTGGAAGCGATGCAGCGAGCGTTGAGGGTGTACACCACCGCGAGGCGTCTGAAAATAGGTGAAGTTTGGGAATTTTTTTTGCGGTAACTGCTGAGCGAAATGTTTCGATTTTTTGGAGAGATGTAAATGTAAGTTTCCGCTTCTTTCTCCAATTTTTAGAAAGCGAAAATGTTGCAAAATGGAGGAGTTACTTTGCTAATCGCGAAACCTTTTCTGCTGCAATACGAGTTGCTTGGCCGCCATTGCTGGCAAGGATTGGAACGTCTAAAATAAAAAATTCTTTTTAATTCATGAATAACAATGTATTATCTACAACGTAGAGTTGGATTTTCTGAAAATTGTAATTATTATAGAAATGGTGGCAGTTTGAAGAGGGAAAACCACTTTTCGCCAATACAAAATCATATTCAAACGTTTCTAAAAAATTACATAATTGAGATATGGTAAAAATCTTAGGCTACATTGTAGATAAGACATTCGCATTTATGAATTAAAACGAATTTTTCGTTTCAGACGTTCCAATCCTTGCTGACGATAACAGCCCAGCAGTTGGTGTTCTAGCAGAAGATGTTTCCCAATAACTCCTCCATTTTGTAACAGTTTGACTTTTCAAAAATTTGGGAAGAAAGCTGAAAGTTACATTTACATTCTCGGAAAAGATTGAAACTTTTCATTTAACAGTTACCTATGAAAAAAATCCCCAAACTTCTCCTATTTTTCAGACACCTCAAGGTACTGCAAAAGACGAAAACAAGGTTCTTCTTCAAGATGAACCGAAAATAATTCTTATTTCGAATAAAACAGTATCTTCCTTGAGTAACAAACAAACAAATAAAAAAATACAACTATATTCCTCATCCATTAATAAAAATAAAAATTGACTCATCCAAAAACTGTGCAAATCGTCGCGAAACTAAAATGCCACAAAGTTGCACGCACTAACCGACATAAAATCGAGTCGTTGATCGCGAAAATGAACGAGACTCGTCGTCGTATACCGTTGCGCTTCGTATCAAACGCATCGCCGGGGAAAAGAAGAGGAAATGAATGAAAAAACAAAAAAAAAAATGAAATCTCTCGCAATGAATAATTTGTGGCCGTGGCGTAATCTGCTGGCGAGCGTATGCATCGCGCGCACTTACCGACTGCACTCTCTCTCTCTAGAGAAAGATCCGAAGGATTCTGGCCACAAAACCGCAGACTGCAGGATCACCGACTTCGAGATATATATCGCGTGTTCTTTCTGCAACTGCTGATCCCAATACACACGCACAACCGTGGCCGACTGAAATTTATTTCTCTTGCGGACGCTTAACGGTTGCATTCTAGCTTGTGCAATGGTAACTAGAAAGCTTCACGAATGGTCCCACACGCGAGAATTGCTCGCGCTTAAACGACGAAAGTCAAGCTGTAACCTTCATGGGAGAACTTCTGATATTACGCTCGTAAATGCTTAAGGTTGCGGTTTTCCGCGGAAGGTTCGCGTTGAAGAAATTGATCTTTTAATCTGTTGCACGAAGGGAGAAATGGGAAAAGTACGGGCTGGCTCGGGGATGTTGAAATGGTACTTTGGGTTGCAAGAAGATTTTCACAAGTTTGGTTCGGTGGAAATAGTAGAGAACAGAGATGAGATCAAATTTGAAGTCAATTTCGTTTCACGGCTTTCCACGAATGCAATAATTTTTTATTACAACGCAAAAATTGCAATTTATCCGTATTTTGCACTTTAACGAAGAGTACACAAATTTAAACGAAAATGGAGTAACACCTCAAATGAAAAATTAACAAAAAAAGTATGAATTTTCAATATATTATTTAAACAAATTAATTTTTCTAAAAACTACTTACACAGATGAATTCGTCATTGAAAAATACACAATCTCTACATTTAAACCATTCCTCTATCTCTAATACTTCCCGAGATATTGGACCAAGCATGTTTTGGGGCTGTTTTCACCCCTTCGCAATTAACTTCGAGGTCTCTTTTCACCCCTTCAAAATTGCCGATAGTAAATAAGAAAAAATACGTGTCGAATATTTTTTCGTGCACTATATCACACGTAAATTTCATCACAATCGGCGAATGATACATGTAGATGTTTTCACATCGTTAGAAACAACGTTTCAACGATTATACTTGCAATATATTCCCGAGTAAAATTACTATTTACGAAACTAAAAATCGACTAATGGAATAATACGGTTGGATCCCTGTTTTACGATATAAATCCAATATGAAGAATGAAAATGCAAACATAGTTGACTCACCCGACTCTGTAGTCCGTGCAGGATGGAGGCGGATTCCAGACAGTGCTGTGACAAAGCATCCAATCGCACCAGATCTAGAACAAAAAGGATCAACGATGAGAGATAACTGTCTGTTGAAATGCGAGAAATTGTTTCTATTTATAGAATGTCTAGGAGACATTTTATTTGGCTGGTCACGTTCATCCATCCTTCGGAAAGTGAATCGTATGCCAGCAGTCTTGTATCGTGTCTACTTTATCGGTAATATTAATGGTCTTACGCGAGGAAAGAACGAAACTCTTGCCATTATTCCTGCGCTTTCGATAGCGATCAGAATTCTTTCCAAACAGATTCGTTCTTAATTATGCGACTAACTTTGCTGCGAGAATTTGCGATACGCGTTGCACATAGAATTACAGTATTTAACCATGAACGCTAATTACTTTGGATTTGAAAAAGAAATTCAGTGGTTCTGATGTCAAATTGTTCAAAGTATTTCAAGATAGATAATTCTTCACTAAAAAAAAAAAAAAAAGAAAGAAATTCAAGAAGTGCAGTATTATTTCAGACTCTGCTCGTAAATGAGTCATTATTAGTTAATTTACGATACATTAATTGTTAAATTATGTTACATTAATTTTAGAGTCCTTGAGTATCGAGCAAACGTTGCTTTGCATTCTCTTCGATGCAGTTTAAAAAACAAATTGATAAGTAAGAAACTTACACTCGTAAAACTTCAATGCAAAAAAGAAAGAAAAAAAAAGTGCTAAGACGTGTCTCTATTACTATCATTTTAGCCAGTATAAACACAATGTGTGTCACAGATCTGTCAGTAAACCATTTCTCCCAGCACACAATCTTTCATTTTCCTGATGTATCTCACACTTAAAAATGAACCTAAAAATTGAAAAAAAGGTAACTTTCTAACCAAAACAAATATTCCAATATACAAGGTGTCCTTTAAACCGTAGGCACTACCGACAAGCAGGCGATCTCCTACAGAGAAACACGTGAAAAACGTAGAGAATGGAGAAAAGTAAGTTCGCGGGCGAAATTACTTCGAGCACTTTTCGTCGTTCACAAAATTTACCGATTTCCTAGCGCAACTTAAACGAAAAATTCCCAAGCTGTAACGAGTCGAAATCATTTCTCTCGAAAGTCCGCAATTAAAAAACGAAGAAAACCTTATACCACACTTTTCCCTTTCTCCTCTCTAAAAAATCACCTGCTCGTCGATTCTACAATTTACCAGACACCCCACAGGACAATGCACCAAACTGACAAACAAAAAACTACCAAAACACCAACAGAAAGATCAAGTTGACGTACACAAATGACGCGAAAACGACGTGAAAAGAAAGAGAGAAAAAAAAAATAGAAAGCTTCGACACAGTATGACACTATTAAAAAAAAAGAAAAGAAAAGAAGCCCTATAAATAATCGGATCGTGTCTAAAAAGAACACCCTAAATAAATTTCCAAGCAAAGACCCGAGAAACACCCTGCATTCACGAGTTCCTCGTGGCAGAATCCCCGTGGCGATGGTATCGCGAGGATTGTACGCATCCTTGAAGGCTGCACCAGCTCGAGAACCAGGAAGAAACCGGTGACGCCGCGGTTCCAATGGCTTGTCATACGGCTGACCTTTATCGATGGAGCGTGCGTGCATAGCTTACGTGCGATAGGTGCATTAATCGCGAACGCCGGGTTGCATAATAAGTCGAGACACGAACGAACCAGGTCCATGGGCCTGACAACGGCCACCGGCGAACCTCGCGTGGGTGCGAACCAACCCGTTGCTTCATAAATTCTCAACCGCTTAAGCTTGAGGTTCACGCTCGCGGGATTATGGCGATGACAAGAATCCTCGACAAGCAACGATCCGATCGAGATCAACGTGAATTTGATATATACTCACACAGAAGCTCCAGAGACATCTGGCGAGACAGGATCCAGTGTGTCAATTAGAAATGGTAATTTAAATGAATTGACAGCGGTTCGATGTGGAGGATGATTTTGTATTTTGTAGTTTCTGGGTTCGTTGTGATTTGTGCTTCGTGTCTTTTTTTTTTTAGTAAAGTTTGCTCGGTTTTTGTGTGTTTTGGTGGGAGTAGAAACGACGAGTTGGAAAGAAAATTAATTTTCAACTTTGAACCCTAGGATGCCCAAGGGAGGATTGAAAAGTATTCCCGAAATTTTTCATTTTGGATTTCTCTTTTGTAAAACAGCTTGTGTGAGCTGTTGATCATTTCTTTTTGCGTGAAACAGTAATTGTATCTGATAGATTTTGCTGAAATTCAAGCTTGCAAGGGGTTTGAGCTTCCTAGGGTTAAGGAAGATTGCAGTGTGAATGTGAGAGAAATTTAGGTGAATGCTTCCTTCTGCTTTGTAAGAATGTTGGAAAACGTAGAATGCAGAACTGAATGAAAATAGGTTATTCAACAGGCGGTTGGAAATTCATTACTCTACCGAAATTGCATTTTATTTTTCTAACATAGTAAATTGCAGTTAACCCTTTAATTGCTAGACAGTACAAAATCCTTTCGTACTTTTTTATTCCTGCCTTGAATTTAGGATGAAAAATAATACTCTGAGGATTTACTCAAGAATTTGAAAGATATCTCCGACACCCTCCAGCTCTACGTTTCTTATCGTTCAACCGTCTAAAATAATTAATAGTTAGCGCGTAAAACTGCTCTTTCATATTTCTTATTTCTACTTTTATTCAACGATGAAAAATAATACTCCGAGGATTCTCTCAAGAGTTTCAAAAATACCGCTAACTTTCACATCCTCGAACCCTTCCCGTATCATTGAACTGTCTAAAATAATTAATCAGAAATCAATTTACAACGTCACGTTCGCTGACCACTGACTAATAATCCCCCGTTACTTTTATCCTTCCCTGAAAAAGACAATCGAAAACGTTGACTCATAACGTCGATTGCTCATCATCCTCGTCCTTTCTCTCAAGCTTTTCTCGCACCGATCCATCGATCGATGATCGATGCGCGCGCAGGATAACCGCGCGAAAGAATATATCCGCCTCCATACATTACACGCCATATTTGTGCAAAAGTAGTCGCGAGAAAGAAAAAAAACAAAAATTCAAATAACCACTAAACCTTCGTGTGTGCACACACACACAGGTGTTTTCCTCGTGTGTTCTTTTCTTTTTTTTCTTTTCTCCCTCTGACCGCAGATTATCGATACTGATTAAAATCCGTGCAATTAAAATGACGCGGTTTTTCCCGGTACGGTGAAAGTTTCTCGGAAAAAGAGATCTTGATAGGATAGTCCATTAGATATGCCAGAGATAATGGAAATACCTTGATAGCTGGTAAAAGGACTTGCATGTCCTCGCTAACAACCATCCTCAGCTCTTCGGTGCTGTCCAACTGAGACTTGAGCAAGGACACGCCACGTTCTAAAATCAGATTGAACATCTGCAAGGATACGATCAGTGCCCTTTCTTGGACCTCGGACCGGTACCCTTGCTCCATTTGGGAATCTGAAACAATAAATGGAAGGATCGAACCGTTAGCGACACGAGCACACTCCACGTTTTAAAAGGTTCTTTGCTAATGGCCGACAGTTGAACTATTTGCCGGGAAATTTAGATTCTTAACACTAGAACTACCAGCCGAGTTAGAATGACACATTACCGACTTCACACAAGTGAATTTTTCCGTAATTCGATTCATATCGACACAAATAGAAGCATACCTGTAGAAATAAATTCACGTTTTCTCGAAAGATGCTAATGGGTCATATTTTGACCCGGTCGGTAATTCTAGTGTTAAACACTTTGCCTAGTGACAACACACTCGTGGAACAGATTTTGTGCAAGATGTGAGAAAAATTGTTATCGTTCTTTTAAACTTTCGGATTGATTCGTGAGACTGAAGAAATTCATTCGGTTTAATTCATGCGACAAAAATTGTTATATTAGTAACGAAGATTCCTTTTTGAATTCTAACTTTCGGTTTGATTCGTGAGACTGAGGATTACCGAGTGTAATTAATTTACGATACGTTAGGTTTGTTACCTAATATAATACTGAAAACAGTAAATTGCTGAAGCTTACATGCATAGTTAGTAAGGAAAATTGTGAATCAAGGGGTTAAGTACGTTCGTTTCATCTCCACCTTTAGTTAGACAACTTTACACGCGCTAAATTCTTGGTTAATACTGTGTTAATTTTTCCAAACTTAGATTACAAAATTTTGTAAAATCTTTTTTGTAATTTGAATTTTACGAAGGTATCGTAATTTCTTTTTCACTAGAATTAAATTATTAAACTCAGAGTCCACGAATTTTTGTTACACTCTGTATTTCTACGTTTATTTGCTGTTCTATATATGCATGGTTGAAATTTTAATTGAACACACTTTTTCCACTTATTTGATCTCCATTTTCACTATAAAATTCACGATACGGTGGATTCGTACACAGAATGAAATATGGTACGTTGAAGTTTCCAATTTTGAAACAAAACGATTGCTGGATTATTACGTGTGTGCAGTGGTAACAGCAAAAATGATCTGAGACAGGTTAACGTAAACATATACAGAATGACATAGTAACCATCTGTTTACTATGGACGCTGGTATGCTTTTCTTTTCTTTTTTTCGCAGTGACGTGCCTTCCTCGCGTATCAAAATACAGAATAGTTTATAATTCCTCTCGATCTCCGCCGCATTCAGTTTGATCTTATATTTACCTACAAAGTTCTGAATGGCACTGTAACGTGTCCGTCAATTCTATCTCACTTCGGTTTAATTGCACCCTCAAACTATCGCCGAAGACGACACTCGTTTCTACAGGAAGACATTCATATTCAAGCATATTCATCAATGTAAACAAACACAGCGATTCGCTAAATCTTTTTCGTTCTTTAAATTCATTCAAGCGTAACGTTTCTCGCATACTTAGATCTTAAGTGTTTTAATGAATCTTTATGTCCTCAGATTCTCCTTTTGCATACTAGAGGGTTTCATTTGAATAAATAAATAATTGAAATACCACCTTCTAATTTATTGCCTAAATCCAATAACGATTTTATAATACTTTTTAAATATTTTCAGTAACTACAGAATTACTTAGTACCCGTTAAAATTTGCCAAGCAAACTGCAACTGCTCTCAAGCACGAACCAAACAACCACACAACAAAAATTCATTTAAAAAAAAACAGTTAAAATCAAGTAAACAAAGCAACGACAATTTCTTCTAACAGACGTCTCGTCCAAAAAATTTCGCACAGAACCGGGCGGTAGATACATCGCCGCAAACTAGAACGTTAAATCCTGCACAAAGGGGATTCCCGTTACAGGATCCGCGTTTACCAGAATTACAGCGGGCGAAAAAACGAAGGATTCGCGGTGTAGGTACGTGCGGGTACAATTAATCGCGCTCCCAAAGAACAAAGAGAAGACGAAAGGATGGAGGGCGTTCCGAGAAATCGAACGAACCGCTACCGTACGATTAATATCGACCAGGTGGATATCCGTTGCTTCTCTCCAACGTAGAACGAAACGAAGTAACGATCAGGGTGGAAAGTTGCAAAAGCGAGAGAACGAAGGGACAGGTAACGAAGAAAGATGGAAGAAGACGCGGAAGTAGAGGCTAGCGGTGAAGACTTTTTCATTATCTCGTCTATCCATCGGAGGTAATCGGCATAGTCGACATTTTAACGTCGTCGACGTCGTACGGGGTTGAGAAGGAGACTAACAGAAACCGTGCAGCTGATCGCCGGAAGGCTAACTACTTTACGAACGCGACATCCCGCGGCACCTTTCATCTAGGATACCACGACTACCTTGGTCCTTCCTTCGGTACATCGTGAACAGCTCGTTCGTTGTACGATGGAACGGTTTATGAATTATTGGTGTACGGATCTGTTGACCTGTACGTGGTACAGTAGAATTCCGATTATCCGGTACACTCCGGGACCAAGGCAGCGCTGGATCGTCAAATATGTGGGATAATTAGGGTACGTACACCTAAGAGAATTATTCAGAAAGCGACTGTGGATACAAGTTACGATGTTCATACTTTTTCACTTAGCTACCTATACAGAGAAAAGTATTTGTGGCAAGTCTTCAAAATACTTCTCCCCAGCAATTTTTAATTCGTTATCCGGAGGAAGGGCAATGAGAGTCTTTGTGGATTTTTTAACAAAGAGAACAGCTGAGTGAATTCACATTCTTGAATAACGATTTGAACTGCGCGCGCTTTGTGCACCCTGCAATTTTCGCGCAAACAGCAGATCTCTCAAAGTGTCAACACTTCACCGACCGGAAGCCTGTTGATCGGCTCTTCGCTGCCAACGCTTAGCGCTCTTTAATGTCGTTAATTTTAATTTCCCTGTAATAAGAGAAAGCGAACGATAGAGTAGGCACTCTCGCGAATTTTAATTGAAAATTTGCATAGCTGTAAGAATAAGCGCTTATATTCCCGCGCGATAGTAAAGACGGAGCCCGGAAAGAGTTCAGCAACGTCGGTAAAGTGTGAAAAATCGCTAAAATTGAGTGAAATTTTTCACAGATACGCGCGCAATCGTCACGCTCACCGTTTTACACAAAACTTTGCCCTCGTGGATGAAAGATTTAAGAAAAAATTGAAAGACCTGTCTATCAAATGATTCTCACTCAAGACAATATCACAACACTCTGAGAATAATTTCGAAAAATCTTCTCCGGCCGACAAATTCCAACGAAACAAACACTCCACTGGTCGCAGAAGACCAATCCGAACACCACTTTCTCCTCCTTCACTCTGAATAGAGACGTGCGAGAATATTCGCGATTCGGTATCCCGTGGCGAGCAATAGCGTAAATTGAATTTGCTAAGGGCAACCATGCGAATATGTGTTCCGTATGCCTCCTGCTTTAACGCGGCCCGTGGCGCGCCATTGGTACGCGAAAGGCACACTCAACGATACCCATGGCGTCTGGCAGTTTAATTTATCGCGGACGAGGATAATAATTAGCGTTTAACTGCGAGCCGAGCTCGAGCCGAGCGGCCCGTGTGGTCTTCTTCCATGGTTGGGAGTGTAAAGGGTAATTAGTTAGGGAAGATTTATAGAAAGGCCTTAACTAATTGCCAATACGATCATTAGCGAAAATTACGCGTATCGTCCTGTCGACTTCCTCCTTCGTTTCCTCTCTCTCTCTCTCTCTCTTCTACCTCCCTTCCAGCCCTTTAAGTCCCTCTTTCACGTGGCGAACGTGCGCTTGAACGTCGGTATGCATACACCTGTCACGACTCGTGAAGAGATAAGAGTTTCCCTTATCAATCGTTATCGTTCAACCAAGACCTATCCGATCGAGAACATCCTTCCTTGATCCTGCTGGCTATTAATTACTCGAACGGTGACGCCGTTTCGCGACTGCCAAGCGGTTAATTGCGAATTAACCCCGAGTTAAGCAGGCGAAAACGACCGGCCAAGGGTGAGGTTGATACTGTGTGTGAGTAATGGTGCTGTTAGAGGTTGGTGGGAGGGTGTGCGGTGTCTGTGATCTCTAGTGTGATCGGTGGACTGCGGATTCTTACGCAAATTCGTATTTTTGAGGGTGTAGTGAAGAATGTAAAACTTCGGTGGAAAATTATTTCATCTACCATCTACCATTTTGGATATTATTTTTTTATTATAATTTTGCACCGTTGAACTTCCTATAAATGCATAAAAATCCGCAGTGCAGTGGTCAGTTTGAGGACTTTGGTTGCAATTTTTGGTCGTGAGACGAAGAGTATTTCGAATTCTTTTTGCTTGGTACAGGATTACAGCTGCTGATGTTCAAATTCGTGAGAAAGAAAGAATTGTAAGAATCGTAAGTATAATGAGGGATGATAAGAATTATGAGAAAATAAAAATTGGTGACCCTTTCATTCCGACACTACTTAATAGCTGCAAAATACAGAGGAAATATTTTTATAATACTACAGAATTCAATAAAATTACAATTTAATTTAATAAAACCACAATCACAATAAAATGAAAATATGTGAGATGGAAGATTTTTCTGTACCAGAATTGAATATTTATGATACACCTTTTTTTATACAGTCTACACTTAGTTTGCACAGAAATTTATTCAACGATGTATTCTCTCTGTGGTCTGCAACCAAAGAATTGTCGCGAAAGAACCACAATAGAGGAAGAATTTTTATTATTTACCTTCACAAAACATTTAAATTGGAAAACCATTGCGTACACATTGCAAGAACAGGAACACAGTACGAAACAATAAAACACAAACGGAACAGAAAGGATAATAAGACACCATCTCCATCCCCCTGCGTTTTCTCACTTCATTTACCAAAACTTCCAAACCAAAAATCCCGAACTTCCTGTGAAACCAAGCGACACGAACCGTGCAAATGGAGATCAACTCTGGAGCAATTACCAGTCGCGAGAGAGCTTTGATTGCCACTCAACAACTCTGTCAACCTTCGACCCATCCTCGATCCCTGCCAAACTCGCTACTCACGTAAAATATCAGTCGGAA